TAAGGGGTATTGGGCTCTCTGGGTGCCTGTCTTCCCTCTTCAGCAGTGGCCTGCAGGCTTCTTCACCAGGGTGGAGGAGTTCGGCAACGGGAGCATTCGTGTTTCCGGACTCTGCGACGTAGAGGGTGCCACGAAAGCCGCGAATCAAATCTACCACCTTGCCGGCACCACAGCTGCTGGCCAGCACTGGTACGTCTCCAGCGAGAAGATTGTCGGTTTCAGCGCGCATGGCTACGCCCACGACCCAGAGCAGAGGAAGGGTGAGACAGCACAGGGCGACGGAGTAGCATTCCCTCTGGCCTTGCCCATCGCCTTTGGCATCCTCCTCAACATTGTACCTATAGCCTCCATTGTAGTTCCTTTTTTTGTATTGTATATTAAGGATCCTAAAAAGTAGCCTCAAAAAGGAACTACAACGGAGACTACAGGTAGTTCTTAGCCTTCGGCACTGGCGGCGGCGTGCCGCAGCGAGCGCCCAGGAACCTCAGCCGCCTCCCTTGCCGGAGGAGCCTACGGGGACGCCGGTACCGACTTCCCCAGGTGGGGACGTCGAATCCCAAGCCCTATGATCCAAACCCTGAGCCCCAAACCATGCAAAGCTTCTCATCACCCAATCCAGTCATGCTCCAGGGTTTCGAGGGATGTCTTGAGCTGAGCTGTTTGGGGTTCGGGTGTTGTCGGCTTGGGGTTTAGAGCTTAGGGTCTAGGGCTCAAGTTAAATCGATCAGGGCCCTGAAGGCCTTGTGGAGTTACGATGATGGGTCATTCTAGGTTAAGAACGACTGAGAACTTCACAAAGCTTCAGATTGCCCAGGGCAGGTAAGTTCAGCATCGCATCATGATGGGGAAGGAGTGTGCATGGTAGAGCTACTCTCTTAAAGGAAGTTCACAGGGGCCCTAAACCCATAAAGCCCTAAAGCCCTAAAGCCCCAAACCTTACACCCTAAACCCCAAGCTTTCAACCCAGAAGGTCCAGACGAGCGTAGCTCGGAAGAGCCCAACTCCAGCCGCGTCATCGGGAAGCCCGACGAATCCGACGGCGAAGCAGAGGATGATCCTGACGGCGAGCCTGAGCAGCTCATGATCTAAGACCCTACTGGAAGGATCAGGGGACGTCGTAAGTGGGTTCTAAGAATAACCGGGGTGAGAAGTACCCTAATTGCGGTTTCGCTAGTTACACCCCAACTCCAACACCCGGCTTGCCAAGCCCCATGATCCTCCAAGTAGGACTTGGCAGGACCCCGCAGAGCCCAATGCTAATTCCTGATCAAGGAATCGTCCTTGTGCGCATTAAATTTCATTGGAAAGGCAGCCTTGCACAATTTAGGGAACTTCTTCAATTATGTAAGCAGTATTGGGCTCTCTGGGATACAAGGCTTTATGGTAGGAGTAGGCTCAAGCCTTCTTATGGCTGCTAACGTTAGTCTCAGGCGGGGCGGAAAAGCCTTTAGTGCTGCACACGACCCTTCGAAACTCTAGGGGTTATAGGGGTTTAGGGCTTGGATTCAGGTGCAGCAAATAAAGAGTGCATCTGAGTCGTTGCCACAACCTTCTATTTGCAGCCTTCATTTCCAGCACTGCTACAAGACACCGGGGTGCCCTAAACCCTAAACCCTACTGGTACACTACACAGGGGTCCCCGCACCCTGGGGTTCTGAAGCCTGCAGACATGAGCTCAGCCTTCAGATTCCAAACTCCTAGCATCTCTGAGCCTTAGGGTTTACCTGGACCCCAAAGAACCTACCGTTTTAGGGTTCCTTATTATGATTTCTTTATATAAGTCCTTAAAAAGGTAGGTTACTTTGGGTTAAGGTAGGGTTTAGGGGGCTTGGCGCCCGGCTTTATAGCTAGGGGCCGAGGCTACGCAGCAAGAGGCTTTTCCCCTGCACGCATGCTGCCCTGCTGCAGTATTGCGTCGGCGCAAGACTAAGATCGGAGCATGGCAACGCAGAATCATAAGTACATGCCTCCAAAGACACAGCCTCAAGTTAAGCTGTATCGTTTAAGCTTAGATTAAAGCTTAGATTAAGGATCCCAATATGGTTTCAGAGTGCCTGCGCAGACTCGAATTCGTGAAGTTTCGACAGCTGTTGGCTCTCCGGGGGTGACTCCTCGACTATCTGCTCTCTCCACGACGCGAAGCCTCTTTGGGGCTGCAGCCTGCACCACAAGCCCCTATCCGTACCCAGAGAGCTCAATACCCCTTAACTAAGGAATATACCTTAAATCATCAAGGCCCCATTTAAGGGGTATTGGGCTCTCTGGGTAATCAAACCGACACCTACACCCTCAGCCTTTCGCCCTCAAGCACCAGCCCCTAACCCTAGCATCTAGAAGGTGAGTTCTCAATCCCCAAGCCCCGAAGCAAACTCTTCACACACGCACAGACAGCCCTAAAACCTAAACCCGAAACCACTAAACCCGGCCATAAGCCCTAAAGCCTAATCCTCACAGCTTGAGAATATCTCGTGGAGAGCCCGGGGCCAGCAACAGCACGGCTCTTCCAGGAACCCTGGCCTCTCGAAAGTCTTCTAAACGCCAATGTCAGGATCCATGAGCATGGGTTTAGGGTCTAGGAGTTTAGGGTTTGCATGGGTTGCTTAAGAGCTACCGTCGGTATGTTGTTGGTGGGTTGCACTAACAGTGGTCGCATTCGTAGTCGAAGTGTTTCTCGTAGCAGCTGCTGCTGGAAGTAGCAACTTCAGCGGCAGCAGTGTGCTGCTCCTATAGAATTGCTGCTGCTACTTACTGCTCCTGCTACTTGCGCTGCAGCTGCCGCTGCGGCGACGACGATTACTTCGACCACCGCTATCACTACCACTACCACTACGTCTATCCATACCGCTGCCACTAGCGTCGTCGGTTCATCGCGAAGCCTGAATCATGTTCAATAAATTATAAATACTCTTCCTCGGGGCTCTTGACTATAAACAGAGGAAAACATGCATCACAACCCTAGGACAATTCTTTAGACTGTGATGAGAGGGTCCTTAATATCCCGCAGGAGTTGCCCGAGATCTTGGCAGCAAAAACTAAAGCTAAACTCTATACAGCAAGTCCTAGACCCTACGCCCAAAACCCAGAACCTAAACCCTAAACCAGAAGCCCTAAACCTTAAACCCTATAAACCCTAAACCCTAAACCCTAAAAGCCCTAAACCTTTAAACCTCAAAACCCTAACCCTCGGCATGATTTTCAGGCCTTTTCCCGGGTTCCTCTGAGTCTCAAGACTCCCCGTGCAGAGAAGCTGGGAAAAGGGCACAGAATTCGGGGTTTGGGGGTTTAGTTTTCAGGGTTCAGGGGTTTAGGGTTCAGAGTTTGGCGGTTTAGGGGTTTAGTGTTCAGGGTTCAGGGGTTTAGGGTTTGGGGGTTTGGGGGTTTAGTGTTCATGGTTCATGGTTATTAAGGGTTAAGGGTTAAGGGTTCAGGAATGAGGGAATTAAGGTTCAGGGTTCCAGATTGGGGGTTGAGACGTGAAGGAAGCTGATCTGAGAAAGCTACCCACACCACCCTTTGCAAGCTCTGGCAAGAAACCTTAAAGTAGCATTGTCTGAATAACCCCTAAACCTCCAACCCGTCCGGTGCTAACTCGCCAGGATCCAGGCCACACGACTGCTCTGCCTTAAAAACCCCCGAACCCCAAACCCTAACCCGAAATCCAAACCTTCGAACGTAGATCAACCTGGTCATAGCTTCTAACATTCTAACAGACCCGAAGGGACGTGTTCTGATGGAACCACTTCAGCCCTTGAAGGACTCCTTCATAGACGGGCGGAAGAATTCGCAATACTGTTCCTTGAGGGGTTCTAACTAAAATTCTAGCAAAACATGCCCCCCAAACCCCATTCTACTGGGCCCTTCTCTAACATTGTAGTAAAACATACACCTAAAAACCCCGTTCTATCTAAACCCTAAACCCCAAATCCTAAACCCTAACTTTTCAGACCCCTCTAACAAAGCCTTTCCTCCCCCAGAGGAGCCTGCTGCTTCCGGAGCACCTGAAAACCAAGCATTGACACCTCAACCCTAAACCCCTAAATCCTAAACCCCTAACCCCTGAACCTTCAAGCCTAAACCCCTAAACCCGAAACCCCTTAACCCTAAACCCTAAACCCTCAACACCTTCAACCCGAGACTGGAAGTAGCTTGCCCTGCACATGATTTTTGGCTCGTACTTATTTGCACTGCTCACACACGAGGGTGTAGAGACATCCTCTGCATCAGTGGTTGTTTAGTTTACTATACGCAGCCAGGGACCTGTCGGCGCAGACTCAGCACGGAAGTGCCACCAAAGCCTACGTGCCTCAGGCCATAGCATCAGTCCTGGATCTGACCCCCGCCCCTACATCCCCGCAGCTCTTTAGCCGCAGCATTGTGCCGATGAACAGGGTTCGTTCGTCATATGCTCTCGATGATCCCAAGTTAGTTCTAGCCCAGCGCGCTCGGCAGCGGCCACAGATGGATCGTCCGAGAACAGTCGGACAAGCGGCCGATGAGGTTGCGAGATGCATTCAGCCACTATCTCCTTGAGGGCTTGGGGCTTCGGTGCAGGATTCAGGATGCCTTAAACTTGAAGTTCTAAACCCTAAACCCGAAACCGTACTTCTTAATCATCACCTAAACCGCCGCGAAGCGAGGTCTTTGATTTATTTAGAGCCTTAAACAACCCACCCGAAACCCCAAACCCTAAACCACCTTAAACCCAAACCCTAAACCACCCTAAACCCCAAACCCTAAACCACCCTAAACCCCAAACCCTGAACCGGCCTCAACCCTTAACCCTAAACCGTCAACCCTTAACCCTGAGCCCGAAACCCTGAGCCCGTAACCCTAAACCACCCCAGACCCTCAACCCATAACCCTCAACCCTGAGCCCTCAACCCTGAGCCCTAAGACCCTGAACCACCCTAAACCACCCTAAACCACCCTAAACCCCCCAAACCCCCAACCCTGAGCCCTAAGACCCTGAGCCCTTTCAGAGCCATCGGCCTCCGTCCCAGGAGTCGTTGGAGTCGTCTGCTGGACTTCGCGGGAACCCGGCCGCTCCGCCGGTTTTTTGGGTCTTAGGGGCTTTAGGGCTTTAGGGTTTGAGGGGTTTAGGGGTTTAAGGCTTTTAGGGTTTTAGGGTCTTAGTTAGGATTTAGGGGTTTAAGGTTTTTAGGGTTTTAGGGTCTCAGAGCTTTAGGGGTGGAGGGTTTTAGGGGTTTTCGGGATTTTCTTCAGCCCAGCCCGGAGGCTTGAGGCTTGAAGCAGTGGGGTGTAAAGTAACCGACCGAACCACGCAACTTCCTAAGTCACTACACCCTCAACTCTCAACTGCAAAAAACCTGAACCTAAAACCCCAATTGAGCTCAAACAAAGGACCCCAAGACTCTTGCCCAACCGAAACCGAGGTCGTGGGGGAGTCGAAACAGGACGCCTCCTCCTGCTGTAGCTGTGGACGGGGGCGCCTGGGCATCAAAACCCCACTCTGCCCAGACTTGCATTCTGAAGGGTCGGGCTTTTCGTCCTTGAACCCAGGGACTCCAATATCCCTGAATTAAGGAATATTTCTTAAATTATCATAGAAACCCTAATAAGATTTAAGGTATATTTTCTTAGTTAAGGCATATTGCAGTCTCTGGGAAGATGCAAGCCTTGAGCCCCAGCAACCTCAGGCTATTGGTGGCCGTGGCCGCTCTCCTCGCACTGGGAGCATTTCTGCTGCCTGGCAAGCTTTGGAGTTTCCAAGGCGTTATGTTGAGTGGAGGGGGCCGGGCTGGTGGGTTTGGTTGACTACAAGAGCGCGAGGTGTTGCTCTTGCTGCGGGGCCCTAAACCACAAACAGCCCTGAACCTGTGTGTCAGCCTATTTTCACAAGCACTGGCGCAGTCCTTGCCCGTAATCCAAAACCTTAAATCCAGCGCGGTAATCCTAAACCAAGCATAAAACTGCAAGCCGCCGCGCTGCCAGGTCTTTCGTTTGTTCGGCCAGTTTAGGGTTTTAGGATTAACGCCTTGAGGTTGTGCGTGTCAGAATGTGGAAGTGGTCCGGTTTAGGGGTTAGGGGTTTAGGGTTTAGGGTTATGCACTTGCTATTCCCCGTGAGCTGCTCTAAACCGGCTCGGCGTGCTAAGACTTGAGCAGCTCCCTCGGCCTTCGAGGAGATCTCCTTTTGTGGATCTGAAGGGGCAACTCCGGGAATGTACTGTTGATGATATAAATCCTGCATTACCCATAATAAGGAACATACCATAATTCCCATAGTTTAGGGTCCTTAAGGTGATGCAGGATTTCTATCATCAACCGTAGCACATCCGGCTTCTGGGACTTTACACCCGTCAAAACCCTAGCACAGAAGCTTTGGAACTCTAATGTAGGGGCCTTAATGATTAGTATAGGGTTTTGGGGGCTCCTTATTATGATTATAGTATAGTATAAATAACATACCCCCAAGCCCTATTCTAATTATTAAGGCCCTATGTTAATGTCATGACACCTATCAAAGTCCAAATCGGGTTCCAGGCACAGAGTCTTCTGGTTATGGACGTATGGGTTGGTCAAGTAGAAACTGATCCCGGACACTGTTCCGGTAACTGACATACACCCTAACTCCCTAAACCCTAAACTCCAAACCCTAACTCCCCAAACCCTAAACTCCAAACCCTAAATCCCTAAACCCCAAGCTCCAAACCCTAGCTCCCTAAACCCCCAAGCTCCAAACCCTAACTCCCTAAACTCTAAACTCCGATCCCTAAATCCAAAAACCCTAAACCCCTAAACCCTAAACCGCTAAACCCCTAACCTCCTAAACCCCTAAACCCCTAAGCTCCAAACCCTAAGCTGCTTCTGTCGGGCCTTGCTTCTGCACGCCTTTCCCGGGGTTCTTGTCAAGGGTATTTAACCTAACTCACCACAATAAGGAAAGCATATTATTTACTATAGATCCCGAACCCTATTATGGTAACTTAAGAAACCATATTACGTAGTATAGATCCCTACTATGGTAACTTGAGACCATATGATTTCCTATAGATCCCTATTACGGTAACTTAACTTATGCCTAAACACTACCGCCCCAGCAGACCCCTAACTACAGAACCCCAAAGATCCCAGAGCAGCCTTGCAACCCCTTAAACCCAAACCCCTAAACCCTAAACCCCTAAACTCTAACCCCCTATCGAATCCCCGCAGAACCCACACTGGGCGACCGAATCCTCTGCCGCCTGGTAAAGCCTTGCAGATCTTAGGGATTTAGGGTTTAGGGGTTTAGGGGTTTAGGGTTTAGGGGTTTAGGGGTTCAGGGATTTAGGGTTTAGGGGTTTAGAGGTTTAGGGGTTTAGGGGTTTAAGCAACAGTCCGATAGAAACTTCCACCCGAAAGTTTGCACTCCAAGGTTCCGGCAGCCTATTCGATGTGACCAGATCTCCGCCACATTCTCCTCTGCATTGGCCCCGCATTCCGGCGTTATTAGGATTTAGGTTGTAAGGGCTTTAGGGGGCCGGGCGGGGGGGGGTTGCATGGAAGTTTATCTGGCTCGAGGGGCGTATGGGATGAGGGGTTTAGAACTCTGGAGTTTGGATCCTGGCCCACGGCACTCATCAGTAAGTAGGCCATCGGTGGTGTGATGCATCTAAGACACTCAGGCAATATTCTGTACCAGAGTGCCCTAGAGCTGACTTGGCTTTTCCTTGCGTTGAACCGTGTTGAGCTTCCTTGGCGTAGGAATCCGGGTTTAGGCCGGCAAGTTTCGGCGCAGGAATCCGAGGTGATCCTCAAACGCTGAACCTGTGACCTCAAAGGGTGCGGGGAGAAGCTCTGGTTCCCAAGTTTGGGTCTTCGGGTGTAGCAATGCCTGCTTGAAAGGTCAGGGTTCTGGAGTTGTCCTGGCTTGCAACCTGGTTTAGGGTTTAGGGTTTACCTTAACCCCCAAATAACCTACCTTTTTTAAGGACTTATATAAAGAAATCATTTTAATAAGGAGCCCTAAAAGGTTAGGTTCTCTGGGGTCCAGGTAGGGTTTAGCTTACTAAGCCTTTAGCCTTTCTTGGGTCACCCCCACAAGGATTCTTAAGGGCTCTTGCCTCTCTTGGGTGTTGGGGTCTGAGATTTTGGGGTATGAGACTTTTCTCTTCAAGTTAGGGTTGTAGGGCTCATAGGACTTGGGGCTACAATTTTTTCCAGGGATGTCTGGATTCATGGGTTTTCGGCTTTCGGAATGAGGGTGTAGGGGTCTTAGGGCTGGGTGAAACAGCCGGCCGGCAGCCCAGGGCCATCGGTGCGCCAGCGCTGACGGTCGAGGCTCGAAATGGTTAAGGGTTTCGGGTTTAGTGTTTAGGGAAGGGGGCTTGGCATTAGTGTGCTGTGGGCTTTACGGCATCAGGGTCTTTCGGGTTTTTCCTTGGGCGCTGAGGTGTGGGAGGTGTCTCTGTCTGGAACTTTCATATGCCTTCAAGCACAATAAGAATAAGCCAGGTCGAAATCTTCTAAGGATTTCTCCTCAAGGGGGTTAAGCAGCAGCATGCCACGGTCCGGGGCTTCTCTGATATCCGTTTAGCCTGGTACCAGTCTGGGTTGTTCAGTAACCGCCAGAGTCCATCTCAAGACCATGCACCCCAAAAGTACCGCGTGAAACGTATGCCTTCAGTTCTTTAGCGTGAAGTGCTACCCTCAACCCTAAACCCTACACCCTCAATCAAGGCAAGTCTGTAAGGCCTGCCCTCTTTTGCCGAGCATCTCAACAGTGGAGCTCTGTCTTCATTCTTTGGGTTTATAGGGGCTTAGGATTTAGGGCTTAGAACTTAGGGTTGGGGTTTAGGGTTTAGTGTTTAGGGAGATGTCCAAAAATAAGCCTTTCACTGCCCGGATCTAAACCGCCCCTTCCCATCTCAATGGAGACTCTGAACCCTTAACCCCTGAACCCTAAACTCTAGGGTTTAGGGTTTAGGGTTTAGGGTTTATGGAACCCTGAGCCCTAAACCCTAGCGGCCGAGGCCGAGGTAGCACCCACTGCACCGCCCTTGGTGCCACAGCAGTTCCCAGCGACGCAAGCCGCCCCGCAGCCGCAGCCCGTGTCGCGGCCCACGCTGCCGCTGGAGGCGAGGGGGAGGGCGATTTGTGGGGCTTTAAGGCGTTCGCGCGTCTTCCTTTGCTGGGGTGTGTTCAATAATGTCGGGCAATGTATTACAGAAGTTGGTGCTGAGTTTGGTTTTAAAAAATCCAGAGTCAGATGTGTGCGGGCGCGGCTTTCCTGCACGTTCAATGGGTTCGAGTTCCAAGCGACTAAAAGCTTAGGTGCTCGGAGAGCACGTCGTTAGATTGTGTAGGACGCATGTAGCAGGCTGGAATGTACGTTTGCATAAAGGTGCTTGGGGCAGCTGAAGTGCCTCCGGTTTGTTTTTTTGGCTGCGGTGAGTTCCGGACTAGGCCGACTAGGCCGAGTTTAAGAGGTAGATTCCGGTTGCGTCGACCACAAATAAGTATTATGGGGTTTTGGGCAAATGAAGGCGGAGTCGAATCAGCTCGGCCTAAACCCTACCTTAGCTGGACCCCAAAGAACCTACCTGTTTAGGGTTCCTTATTTTGATTTCTTTATATAAGTCCTTAAAATGGTAGGTTGTTTGGGGTTGTCAGGTAACCCCCTAAGCCCTAAACCCAAAACGTGAGTTAGGGTTGCGTTCCTTTCCGGTCTCAGGCGCCTCCGGCTTTCGTGATGCGCGGCAAAGATCCCTGCGTGCCCGTCGGGGGAGCGAAGGCCTCGTGTTGGGCCATTTCTTGTAGAATTTTTGAGGGTTTAGGGTTTAGGGTAAGAGTTCTTCTTCAGGTTTAATGAAGACCACCGTTTCATGAATTCCATCCCCTTGTTTACAAACGCTTGTGCCCAATAGCTCATAAGGTTAAGGGTTTTGGTTTAGGAGGTATGTGATCCTAAGGTAGGTGGGGGGTCACGGGGTTTGGACCCTCCTTTGCTGAAATTCCCAGAAGGCCCATGCAGAGCCTCGCGCGAGTTTTTGGCTCAACATCTCCTTACCACCCAGTTTCGCTTACGTAGCCATGGATGCAACGGTTGATCTCCCGGCACCTTTTGGCGTCCTCACCGCTGCTGCGGAGTTGCGAGAAGGAATGTCTGCTCTGGACCTTGAGCTCGGTTGCACAAGAGCTGGTTGCCCTCGGATTCACGAGGACGACTATTTCGGATATTCCAGTGCGCCTCCATACGACTCTCTCTTCACATTGGTACGGGATGGCACCGGTGGTGCATATCACCTCTGGCTTGGTTTAGGAGGGCATGCTCCTGTGGTGTACATCGGTTCAGAGGGAGAAAGGGCCAAGATCGGCACGACGGCCAGCCAGTTCCTTCAGGTAGTTCTGAGCTTGGCTCCGAGCCATTCCGACATCATCGGCATGCTCCCGGGCCTCAACACACTTCCCGATAACGGAGATATAGAAGCTGCCAAGGAGACCGACTTTGACTTGAAGGGCGCCATCAACAGAATGACGGAATGGAGCCGTGATGAAGATGCAATCGCAGACAAGCAGAAAGCAGATGCCATACTTGCAGCTGTTGGCCTTGCACGCCTAAGTGCGGAGGATGCCATTGGGCAACTCCTGTCTTCCCACTTGGCAGCTCCGCGTTTCGCCGTTCAAAGTGAGGACTAGAGACCTGCGAGCTGGAAAGAGGAGTGGAAAAGCTTTTTTGTGTGATTAGACAGCTAGATGGGCGGTGTAGCTTTTGTTGTTGTGGTGATGGGGCCGTGGTCGTTGTGGTCGTCGCCAGCCGCCATCGTCGTCTTCGTGGTGGCGGTGGTGGTGCTCGTGGTGGTCGCCACTATGGTTCTACTTCTGGTGCTGCTGGTGCTGCCTACTTCTCTGCGGCGCCGCTGTTTTGGTGTCTGTTGAACTATTGCTGTTTAGAATTGCTCTTGTTATATTTGAGCATGATTGTTCGCGGCATTGCGACAACTGCTTCCGTCCTGGTGCTTCCAGTAAACCCTAAACCCTACCTGGACCCCAAAGAACCTACCTTTTTAGAGTTCCTTATTATGATTTAATTCTTTAAATATAAGTCCTTAAAAAAGGTAGGTTATTTGGGGTTAAGGTAAACCCTAAACCCCAGAGGGTTGAGACGAACGGCATGATTCCCCAGACCATCTGCAGGTCATCGTGGGCCCTCGGGAAGAATTCGAGTATGTCCCCAGCGCTTTTGACGCCCGGTGCGAGTTGTTATAGGGCTTAGGGTTATAGGATGTGTTTATTGGGTGTGAGGGATTGGGGTTGCGATTTTTGGGCTTTCTCGAGCTTTGCTCAACACAGTTTGAAGCCTTGAGCTTCGCTCGTGAGCCCACGACAAAAGCCCAATGTTCTATATAATGAAGCCCTAAACCCGGAATCCTAGACCGTCACGCTTATATAGAGACCCTAAAGCCGTACATTCAGTCTAACGTCTGAAGCCGTCATAAGCCAAGATGTCAGGCGTCTCAGAAGCGCAGAAAACCAAGGTCCAACCCCAAACCTTATAAACCCTATAGACCCTAAACCCCAAACTCTGCAAGAACCGCAGAAGTCCCTTCTTTCTGTGTCCTCTCATCCTTAAACCCTAAACCCTAAACCCGAGTATTCCAGTAGGCAGGAAGGGCGTCGTTGCTCTAGATCTCCTTCCCGAGTGGGCTCTGAAAGTTTGGTGTTCGGGCTTTTGATGTAGGGCTTAGGGTTGATAAGGGTGTGGGGTTTGGGGTTTAGGGTTTGGAGTTTGGAGTTCGTGGGCTGGGTTCATCGCGCGAGTTGCTAAAGTTGTTGAGATTTCGAACTACAGGTTGACGCTTAGATGCAGCTAGTCCGATGCTTGTTTTTATGGTTCAAGCTCCCTCGAAAAGGGCAGGTTGCAGGGTATGTTCCGCCGGAATAGGTTCAAGAAGAAGTCCTGTGGGTCCCCTTTCAGGATTTCGATGGGTGTTCCGCGGGATGTGAAACTCGCAATACCCCAAGACCCTAAACCTAAACCCTAAACCCTAAACCTTAAACCCTAAATCTAAACCCAAAAACCCTAAACCCTAAACCCGAAACCCTGCAGCCCGAAAGCCCCAAGCTCATAAGCTCCTCAGCCCAACGGAACCCTAAAACCCCTATGGCCCCTAAAGCCGCAAAACCTCGAAAGCCCTAGCGCCCCTAAGAAACAAACCCAAAGAAACCCCAAAAAGCCCTAAGAAACCCTAAGAAGCCCTAAGCCACCCTAAGACACCCTAAGAAACCCTAAGACACCCTAAGAAGCCCTAAGACTCCCTGAACTCCAAGAAACCCTAAGGCCGGATTTCTAAACGTTAAACTGCACGAACTGAGGAGAAGGAGTGGACCGAGCAGACTCGCATGGGCCAGATCTGCAAGCTGGCCTTGCAGCAGAAGGCGCAGGCATGCTGGGGAAGGGACGTTTAGAGCACTGGGGTGGGGTGGAAGCAGGGTAGGGCATTGGGGTTTGGCGCTTCTGGGAGGGTGCTTGGACTTTTGAGGTTTTGAGTTGCGGGGTGTTGCCCCCCCCCGCCCCCTCCACCCCAACTCCGCGGTGTGTCGGCTTGTTTCGCCTGCAGGTGCCAACCCCGACTTTAGACCCGTACTAGTAGGATCCTGATTATCAGGACCCCTAGATATCAGGATACCCGGGTATTGAGAAGCCCTCATTGAGAGCTGTGTGCCCTGAAAACTTGACGGTACACGGGAAGCAGGGTTGATGGATGAAAGGTCTCGTGTTTACAGGGGTTAAGGTTTAGGGGTTAAGGGTTTAGGGGGTTTAGGGGTTAAGATGTATGGTTTAGGGTTTAGGGTTTAGGGTTATTAGTTATTAGGGTCCAGGGGGTTTAGGGGTTAAGATGTATGGTTTAGGGTTTAGGGCTATTAATCATTACCTTAACCCCCCAAAGTAGGTAAAATAATGGCCCAAAACCTCTAAAAGGCTATTATTCTACATACTTTTGGGGTCCAGGTAGGGTTTAGGGGGTTTAGGGGTTAAGTTATATGGCATG